GGCGAACCAATTGGTGATGGTTCGAACCCTGAGTGGGGGAGAACCGGGTACTTTTTGAGGAGATAAGAGATTTGTTCAAGAGCGGTTAGAGAACTGGATAGAGAGGCCTGCGGTACGGATTCCTGAGACCAAGGTCATTGGTGGTCAATGAGAGGTGCAGAGTGAGATAGTGCATGTGGTACGTGTTTGAGAAAGGATGAGTGTCTCCACGGCAAGTGGCCGTTGGTCGGAGACCTTATGGTGGTTAGGAATCCTTCAAGGTTAAAATGGTGAATTCGAGGTGGTTGGCTTGTGAGGTTAGTGCGGCGGGGTGAGAATTTCCGGTTCAGGGTATGGGCTATTATATGCAGTATGGAAGGGAAGAAGTTGATTGGGCAACCAACTTCAGGGTTGTTATGAGTATTCTTGCATGAGTTTTGAGCAATAGAGGAGGAAGTTTCGGATTGTCATCTTCGTGTTCTGAGTCGTTGGCAATTTCTCCGTGTTTTAAATTGGGAGATGGAGTATTCCGGGGTTACAAGTGGCACGAGAGAAAGACCGGTTGCGAGGTTCCGAGGAAGCAAGGTGGTATCTGAGTATGATGCCATGAGTATGAGATCAGTGGTAGAGTCAAGACACTGCGAGGCGTTGTGATGGTATTCCGGGGTATCCGAGTTTAATGTCCTAAAATCTCAGATTATTTTGAGTTTGAGTTTGAGATGACGAGTGGTGTATCAAGTGTCTATGGTTCCGGTGGGGGCCCTTCAGCTAATTGTCATCAAATGGATTTATTTGAGAATGTGAATTGCAGCGAGAAAAAAAGGTTTTGTCACGACGGGGGTCGTCCGAAGTAGTGATGCTTAGCCCGGATGGGTGTGTGTGCACCTATCTATGTTAGTCCGTGGAGCATGGGTTAGTGGACACGTGTGGTGTTAACGTGAGAATGAGATGGTGGCATATAGCAGAGGGTGTTGTGATGCTACGGGGATCCGTAGTACTCACTAGTCAGAGGGTGTTGTGATGCTACGGGGAGCCGTAGTACTCACTAGTCAGAGGGTGTTGTGATGCTACGAAGAGCCGTAGTACTCACTAGTCAGAGGGTGTTGTGATGCTACGGGGAGCCGTAGTACTCACTAGTCAGAAGGTGTTGTGATGCTACGAAGAGTCGTAGTACTCACTAGTCAGAGGGTGTTGTGATGCTACGGGGAGCCGTAGTACTCACTAGTAAGAGGGTGTTGTGATGCTACGGGGAGCCGTAGTACTCACTAGTCTGAGGGAGGTTGTTGTGATGCTACGGGAAGCCGTAGTACTCACCAGTCAGTGAGAGGTTGTGGTGATGCCGCGGGAAGCTGTAGTACTCACCAGTCAGTGAGAACTTGATGTGATGCTACGGGAAAACGTAGTTCACACTAGTCAGCGAGAAGTTGTCACGATAAAGTACTCTTTGATCAGGGCATGGCGCAGAAGAGTTTTAGGCATGGGGTGGCCCTAATTTATGAGTTTTTGGGAACCTGGTGGTTGGACCAGGGGCGAGACCGGGGTCTCCTCAATGATAGGGAGTCATTATGGTCTGAGTAAAGTGTGGTCATCGCAATCCGAAAGAATGGGATAAGTGAGGTACGCATGGGTTGCGGGAAATGAGTTCTGAGTTAAGTGCTTCGTTGGGACGAGTGGTTCCAACTCTGGGTCAGACCAAACTCTCGAGTCTGAGTTTGGCTCTGGTGGTGCGTTGGGTAGGCGGAATGAGATTCTGGATTTTGAGGTGGGTTCCATGATGGGGGGAATTGTTTATCATCTGATGTCTTCGACCCGTGTGGGTCAGTACTTGGGTACGGGAGGTACCGCGAGATGCATGGAACTATGAGCAGTAGATGACAGAGGTCGGGGTTAAGTTGATAATCAGTTGGGATTGTAGTATTCGTTGGGGGGTAACCTTTGGAGGTCCAACTGTGGGGTCGAGAGTAGACCAGGTGCTAAATGTTAAAAAGAGATGTCTGGAAGAAAAGTGTAGGATTGTGATTCTTTTGGATGTTGGAGGACTTCTGAGTGAGCATGATTTTTTCTTGTGATTGAGAGTAGAGTGTCGAAAGGTTATTGTCGGATGGGTTCTGATAGTGGCTTAGTGGATAAGCCCGGGTGGGATGTGAATCCTTTTGTTCCTTGGGGCATGTTTCAGATTGTTGTTACATTGGTATGAGTGATCGGTGGCCGATTGTTGGATTTTGTCTTGGGAAAATCAGAGGAGCAGTGAGTTATCAGGGTTTGATATTCGAGGGGCGAATAGCATGGTGATAGCATTGGTGGGCGGTCTGGCGGCGGGCCAGGCCACTAGAGTTTCCGATTTTGGGAAGGTCAGAAAGGGATATCTCAGCGACTGAGGGGTCGGCTTTGGTTCCGGGATTGGGAGTTCCTGTTTGAATCCAGGCATCTGTGGAAAAAGATATCGGTGGATTATGAGGTCCTTGCAGTGGTGTTTCTCGAATTATAGGTTCGAGCTATGTGTGGTTAAGGAGCGATTTCGAGGGCGAAATCTAATTCAAGTGGGGAAGAATTGTAACATCCGGGAATTTGGGTATATCTATTTAACCCTTCCTTCTTTCTAAGTTGTCTTGTTTAGCCCTTAAAAGTAGATTGTGGCAAATGAGTACGCTGGGCGTACTGGAGAGTACGCTGCTCGTACTCATGGGCGTGTTCTGGACGCGGACTCCACCCGGTACGCTGGGCGTAGCGGGTCCAGACTCAAAACCCTAAATGAGACTTGAGCCCTATATAAAGAAAGCTATGGCCTTATCCTCAGCCACCATTTGAGAGAGTGAAACCCTAAGAGAGATCCAACCTTCGTTCTAAGCTTGTGTGTGAGTGTTCTTGAGCAAAAAGTGCCTTTGTGTGTTAGTGAAGAAGAAGAGGAGGTTCTTGTGAAGGCTAGAAGTTGGAGTGCAAGCTTGGATCTGAGTTCTACAGAGGGAGGAGCTTCACTTGGAGGTAAAAAGCTCTGAGCTTTCCTTGTTATTGCTGATTTGTGCTTCATGGACCAATTTTTAGGGTTTTTGGTCCCAAGGTGGAGACTTTATGATCAAAAGGTCTCCATAAGCTTAGATCTACTATATTTCAGAGTATTGTGAGTTGAGAGTTCATAAAAATCCAATCTTGGACGTGAATATTAAGCCATGCATGAGATCTAGGCCTTATGAGGGAAGATGAAAGGTGTTAGAGTGATTAGTGACCTTTACAGCCATGCTAACGCTTAAAGGTTTCAACTTTATGGATTAAGTGGCCTTAGAGAAGCCAGATCTGAAGTTTGAGTATATGTCTTAACCATTTAAGACCCAAAATCAAAAGGAGTATGAAACTGGGAGTTATGCGGGGCGTAATCCCAGTACGCGCACCGTAGGGGGTCGCATTCCCCGATTCTGTGAAGTCGCCGGGTACGCCCAGCGTACAGATTTGGTACGCGCAGCGTAACCCGGAGGGTTGACTTTTGTTGACTTTTAGGGTTTCGTCAATGATTGGATCTTTGAGCCATAAGAAGGGTAAAATGGTCTTTTGCCCTTCTGAGAGAACTTAGAGTGGGATTAGTCTAGCCTTTGAGAGTTATATTGATTATAGTAATTGTTCCATGTGATTAGGCGGAGGCTAGACCAGTATTATCGAGTTCGAGATTTACCAAGTTACCCGAGGTGAGTGTTCTCACTATACTTTACCTAGAGTGGTAATTAGAGTTATATGACAAAGTATCTTGTATGTTATTTATGTGATCGTGATGCACTGCATTATTTCTATGTGATTTATGCTGTGTATGTTCCAGAGTTTACAGAGTTGGAACCGGAAGGTTCACAGAGTTAGGACCAGAGGTTCCACAGAGTTAGGACCAGAGGGTCCATAGAGTTATAGCCTCGAGTGGCTAATATGTGTTATATGTGGTATTTTGGGGAACTCACTAAGCTTCGTGCTTACCGTGTTATGTGTTATGTGTTTCAGATTTCCTCAGAATCGCGGGACGGCACTGGCATGATTGTACACATCAGAGAAAGAATTATGTTTCGAAGATCCTGGATTAATAAGTAACTAACGAGGGATTGTGTTTTGTAAAATAAATAAACGAGTTTTATGAAATGTGATGTGAAGGTTATATGATTTAAAAATCAAAAATTTGTTTTGAAATTTACGTTGTTACAGTATGTTTGTGTTGCTTTGTCATATTATCCTTATTATCCATGTAAGTCTCTTTTAAAATGTAACTTTTCTATCTTATCACTTTATATTTTAGTATATGTTTAACATTTTAAGTATAATAATAAGTGCTTTTTTTAAGTTTTCTTTCACTTATTAATAATAATAAGTGGTTTTAAAATTAACGAACAATAGTTATAAATAATAAAATCAAATTATAAAAATCATGGATATGTGATATTATCCATGCAAGTTTCTTTTGAAATGTAAATTGTTAATCTTATAACTTTATTATTTAGTATATGTTTCATATTTGAATAATAATATTAAGGTTTCTTAAAAGTCTTCTTTAACTTATTAATAATAATAAGTGGTTTAAAATTAATGAACAATAATTTTAAATGATAATATCATCAAATTATAAATTACATAATGTTAGCTACAAATCAATTGTATTTTAAATGAATATCATTAATGAAATTAGAAAATAATTGCATAAGTAAAAATTTAAATTAATCAATCATAAAAATTGTTAAAAATAATACTAAATAGATAATTATATTTAATTTTATTAATGAGGAAGGTGGATTGATGTCAATTAATATTATTGTTCAAAATAGTTGAGGTTTTATATATATATATATATATATATTATAGTACAGAAATATTATGTCAAAGTTAATGTCAATAACGTAATCATTATAAAAATATATTTTTTTAATATTCTAACAATATATTATTAATATCCTCCGGAATTTGTCTAGTTATATATGTTTATGTGTATTATACTAGATAATGGATTACACCTGCAACTTGCATTTTTGTTTACTGTGTCTCTCCATCTCATCTGCATGTCTATTCACTCCACTGCTCTCCACCGCCTTATCTCTCTTTTATCTCTTTCTTTCTGGATGGTTCCACCGCTGTAACACTGCTTAAATACAATCGGAGGCGAGGCAACAAAAGATCTGCTGCTATGGTGAGTGCTGCTGCCTGAGGGAAAGTGTCGTTCAAGGTTATTCTCACCTCTGATCTGAAGCTTCCTTTCACAGTGTATGTAACCTTCTCTTCTTCTTCTTCTCTCATAGCCATAGGATTTTCATTTTCGTTTAATCCATTAATTCTTTTGCTATATGTGTCCTCGATCTGCTTCCAGGTTTAGCGTTCCAGAGGACTTTCATCAACCGCATGTTTCTACTTATCCCCTGATCCCCTTTCTGCTTTACTTCCCACCTTCGTTCCGCCATAGACATCTTTGAAGCGCCATCTAGAGAGCATCACCGGTAAACCACCACCGATATTGGGTCGGCTCTTCTGTGATTCCTATGGGTTAGTTCTTCTTCGCTTTTGATTTGGGTATGCTTGCTTACTCTTCTCTCTACAAATCTATTGACCAAGTGGCACCTGCTACAACAAATCATTTTCGTTTGTAGGATTCTTAGCAATTTTCACCAGATAATCGATTATCGAATGATGAGTGTAACATAACTTTCAAAATCGGAATTCAGAAGGGCGATCCTTGTCAAGCATTCTGTAGTATAACAAGGTAGGGTTTTGATGGAGGGACGACTGAGGAAGTACGGACATCACCATCAACAATTCAGTCCTGATATAGCTAAAGTATGGAAGGGGAGGTCTCCTACGTATTAGCAACGTCAACAAGCAGGTATGCTTTTAACTTCCTTAGATGCCCATTAGTAAATCTGTTAGGGTTAAATATCTTCAGTATGAGTGTTATTTTATCTAAGTTTAACATTGCTCTTATTTGAGAGGAATATAAAAATGCCACTTCAGAAGATGAACTAAACAAATCTATCGTCAATTGACCGACTTCGGTTTTTTTATGTTGTCTCATCTCCATTCGTCTATCCTAATTTTTGATTCATAAGGTTTGTTGGTAACAGATTTAATTGTTGATTTGTTTTTCGTATGTGGTTTTTACTCTTCATTAACGACTTGGTATATATTATTGTAATTTGTAATTGTAGTGGCACAAGCAACGGTAATTTCATTAATAATGACCTCAATGATGCTCATCTCGCCCAATTCTATTGGAGGTTTTTACTCTTCATGTGATGTATAACTCAATCATTGTGTATTTGGGTAATATATACTAAAACATTATAAAATTGTTATTTGAAATAGATAACTAATATTAATAATAATTTTGTTAACGTGCAGTTCAGATGGGAAGGAAGATTGTTGTTGCTTCGTACATTTTGGTTGTCTTTGTACATATTTTTATGGCTTTACAGGTTAGATTCTACCTGTTATATCTACAAATACTCACATGGAGGTGTCTCTAGGACAAAGGTCTATGTTGCCAATATCTTTTGTCTTTGTTTTGGCTTCAATTGACAATACATTATTGTTTCTACTTGATATTGATTTTAGATTGTTCCTATTTTTGGTATATACGGATCATATATGCAGTGTATCCTTGGTGAGGTTGATTTGATAAGTATCGCAGGACCCATTGGTGTTTTCCTTAGGCCTACCCAAACTGAGCATTTTATGTGTCTTGTACTTTGTGTTTCTCATTAGTTCCAAATTCTGTGAATTTGTACCTTGCAAATCATTCTACTAATCATTGAATCTTGAGAGAAAACACACCCACCTGTGAATTTTTTTGAACCAATATTTTAATAATATAATACAAAATTATTTTCATGAATTAAAAAACCAATCTTTTCTTTTTATGTTTATGTCATTGTTTAAGGAAGAAATGTTGATGGTAAAGAGATAGTGGTTAATTTTGGCAGGTATGGGCTTACTGAATGAACGTTTCTCACTTTTGCTGTTATTTATTTATTTATTTTTATCAGTTTATAAATTAACAAAGCTGCTTATTTTCTTTTATTCGTAAGAGGACTGTGAAGAAACCAACAACAATTCATGTGATCATATCTGTCATCACATAGTCAATTTTTTAAAGAACATTCATTTTCGTTTCTGGTATTGTTCAAGGAGAGTAGTTACTAATATTGATTCATTTATGGCTGATCTATTCAAAAAGTTGGGATCTGCAAATAATATGTTTGAAATTTTTGGTCAAATCAATAATGTTTCTTTTTTTCTTCTCTTGATTTTTTATGTTTTTTTTTGTGTGTGCGCGTAAAATGATGGATTTTAGCAGTGGCGAATCTAGAACAAAATATCACGTGGTTCCCAAATTAAGTGAAGCCGATAAAAAGATCAACAACACTTGTGAGGGGTCGGGCCGGGCTGGGTCGGGTCGTGCACGATTTAATGAAATATAACTGAAAAAACCGATCAGCCACCACCAATTAAAATTTTTTTAAAAAACCGACTGAAATATAATTGAAAAAACCTAACGATTTAATGAAAAATTAGTTGATTATTAGTGCATTGATACCTTATTGTTTGATAAAAACTATATATTATATTTAACCCTATATATTTAACAGCACAAATGCTCCATATAACTTATTTTTTGTCCATTTTAAAATGGTTTTTTAAGATATTTTTTAGAAAAATAAACTCAAGGTAGGTCCTTTATTTTTTCTAAGATAGTTCTTAATTTTTGTGGTATATATATTATAAATTTTTTCTAAGATAGTTCTTAATTTTTGTGGTATATATATTATAAATGAAATTCAAATGTTATATATATTAGATACGTCCTGGATTTCAGCATAATGGCCTAAGATAACAAATAGGTAAACCCCTTACCAATTGATGGTTGGTCAAAACGATTGGTGAAATACAAAAGGTGGAGCAGGTAGATAATGGCTTGGTATGTAAACTTGATTTTTGTGGGGAGGGGTAGGTGTAAGTGTCAATTCCATTGAAGAAATGCAACATGACCTTTATACTTTCTCAAATACAAATTATGGACCTATATACTTTTATTATAATTTGTTAAGAGTCAGACATAGTCTTTTTTTTCTATGGGTCACGTAGATTTTTTGTTTTATGATTTTTTTTATTATGTTTATTCCTTTATGGATCATACTTAGATTACATCTTATTAATTTGAGATTTTATATATGCATTTCAATTCATATATTCCATTCAAGAAAGTTGACGTCATACCTTCTCCAAGTCCCGAGTGGTCTGCTATTTTCTTTCCACCAAATATGTTCATTGTGGGCTATAAGTACAGAGTTATAACAGCTGGTCTGCATCCACAATTCAGGTGGATCTAAACGACTATATAATGGTGTTGTGTCATACCCGAACTTCATGTGGCGTATCCAATCCCGCAAAGCGGGATTCTTCCCTAGTTTTATTTTAAAGATAAATGTAAAGTTTGCTAAATATTTTCATTCTATTTTCCAACAAAGTGTTTGATGTTTGTTTTGTGGTTAAAAATGTGAAGTATTAAGTGCTTGTTTATAATAAAGGGGAAACAACCTTTTGTAAAAAATATTTGTTATAAAACAGTCAAACAACGTTAAAAAAAAGGTGGGGTTATATCCTTCTCGTGCGGTGGCTTTTCGGCGCCTCACATAACTGGACGGTGTTGTGTTCACTGAAGCACCACAATGACACGTCACATACCATGATGTACGGTGATACCCACTCCCATCAATATAAATATATCCAAGTAAGTCAAAGTTTTGATCAGTTCAGAGATTTCGTGTTTGTCAAGTACTATTTTTTATCCACAGTGAAAGATCTAATAACATAATAACATAGACAATTAGTATATGTGATTATTTATAATCTAATTCTTTCATTATTGATAACTGAACCCAAATCTAACTGTACTCTTCTCAAGTTTCAACACAATAATGTTTAGCATCCTATTTTCAACATAAAAATATAAGACTGGGGGATCTCGCTAGTTTCGTTTTAATGTGATTCCGTTGTTTAAAAAAAAAAGGTATTTTCCAAAAATTCCTCAACATATATGAAACATGTTCAGATTACACTAAGAATTTTTAAATGTAACATCAAAACATCTTGGTACTTTGTTCCATACTCGTTCTAACTTCTTTCTTCTTCACTTGCAAGAAATACATATCTCTCATCTCTTTTATCCATTCATGACATTTCCACATAAACAAGATGACATAAGAACTTTGATGAATTTCTTTTTAAATGCCTAGGGTTGTGGGCTGTTATGGGTTTCATAGAAATGGGTTGATCAACTCACTTTCTAAGTATTGGGCCTAAATTTGATTCTCAAAACTATAATTAGCCCATCTATGTATATGTTCTAATTTCCTGTTTGCTAGTATTGTTTTAATTTTTTTCTTCGTTGAAAACCGAGTTTCCAACTCTCATGTAGTCTAGAATGCTTGGTTTAGATATCTCCTGTAATTATTGGATTATTTTTTACATTATAGTAATTCGTTAGAATATATGATTATATAGATATGCAACCGTTCAGAAAAAAAATACATATATGTATCGTATGTTCCACAATATGTTTGAGTATTCATTTAAGATATAAATTGTTGATTTTAAACAAATATAGGGTGTGTTCAGCAAAACTAGCTGGTAGCTGGTAGTGTTTTGCTAAACGCTATGTGACATAACTTTTAAATTTTGAACGTTTTGTTTAAACTAAATGTTAAAAGTTTGTAGTGCCAAACGAGACTTTTTTGTTCATAATTGAATGGTTTGTCAAACGCTAAAAGTTATAAGCTCTCAAATGCTCTGTGCCAAAGACATCCTATTTCAATGGTTTAATATTGTTGTATTATATAGAAATAGGGCAAAATGCAGAAAAACACAACTATTTATCTACTAACATTTAGAAAAACCCTTACATATTGTTTATATGCAGAAAATCTTTATATTTTCAATTACATTTCACATTAACCAAAATATTCGGTCTTTTAAAGAAATTACTGGTTGTTTTGTGACATGACATTTATCTATTTTTGATTTTAGGTTAACATGAAAACAAAAATATGTGATGTTGTCTTTTATCTAAGGTAAAACGTGAGAAATATATCATTTACTCAAGCAAAAAAGGTAAAACGTGAGAAATATACCATTTACTCAAGCAAAAATAAATTATTTTTTTTCATGTAAACCTAAAAACAAACAAAAATAAATGTCATGACACAAAACAACCGATAACTTCTTAAAAAAATTAATATTTGGGTGAATCTGAAAGGTAAATAAAAATATAATGGTTTTTTTGTATATAAACAAAATATAATGGTTTTTCCGAATGCTGATAAGTAAATGGTTGAACTTTTCTACGTTTTGCTCTTAAGTATTGATAAGAGGATTAAAAAATCAAATTATTCTTATCAAATGGCCTAAGGATATGACGTTTTTTAGAAGTATGGTGATTAAATATGTCAAAATATAGTAATATAAAAGTGATAAATGAAGATGAAAAAAGAAAAAGAAAAACATGTTCTATAGTATTATATTATTATTCCGAAAAAAAAACTTTTCAATAATGTATACCAAGTCTTTGCTATTTTTATATTTTTTCTAAATATTGACAATGCATCCTCAAATGAAAGTCTAATGATGCATTGTCTATAATTTTTATATGTATAAACATACAAATTCACGGATTTACTCCTGTTTTTATGGATGAAAAATAATAGCAATTTATTAAAATAATAACGTTCAATTGATTTATTAAGAAAAATATTGTTTATGATTATGATATAACATGTATACATACGAAACTATTGGGGTATGAAGTAACGTTTTGACTTTTTTGAATGTCTTATACTTTGTGATTGATGATTATGATTTGTTTATATTGATCTAACGTGACGAGAAAAAAGTAGTGATTGTGATAAGTTAAATATGTAATTTTCATACAGTAAAATAAGAATTTTAATTTTAAATTATATGAACCCTATTCCTATCATTGTTCTTATCGACCATGCTTTTGGCTTAGTGTAAATAAACTTTGATACCATTTGTCTTTACCAAGCTTAGGGTATCATCACTATGCCTTTATTTTAATACTAAAGAGGCCTTGTTCAATTGATAATGTTTACTCGGAACAAAAACTATTAGACACTTGGTAAAATTAAATTATTCAACTACGAACAAGAACTATAAGACGTTACTCCGTCTCTCCATAGATGTTGTAAATCATTAGCCACATCTTCATCCATAAGATATATTCTATATCTTATACATTATTTCATTTCAAATTAAAACTATTTAAGTTGCTCAACATAATTAATTTACGGAAGAAACTCTATAATTTAATACTCAATAAATTAATAACCTCGATAAAATTAATAATTTGTTCGCTTCCAACTTGAGACTAATACAAAATTGGACCCCAATCGATAAAATAATAAAATAATAATTTTTATGAAATCCCAATGTAATATATTGGTCTCAGTGAAACTATAAATTAATAATTACTAAAATATTCCAAAATTCTAAAATTGTCTAGTAAAAAATGAATCTATAGTCACTTGTTTTTTTTGTTTGTGAACTTCAATATATATATATATATATATATATATATATATATATATATATATATATATATATATATTGAGTTCATCTTTAAATCTCTCAATTGCACGTAAAAGTTGAGACACTATATTATTGTATTGCAACAAAAAATTGTGAAGAGT